TCGTGAATACGTTCTGTCACATACTAAAAAGAACTTAACAGACATTTAACAATTACTAAAATGTAATAATATGATATTGGTAATAAAAGTAAGGTTGAGATGATCATATATCAGGACTGTGATCAATTATTTCATATATGTTTATATTATACAATTCGATACTTAGAATACTAGGACTGTATGTGAGTTCACTTTCGCAAACAAACTATTTAAAAATGAATTATCATATCGTAATAATAATAATTACGGGTTGAGCATTTAGCATTGATCAGAAGTAGACTGATAATTTTCTTTTTTTATAATATGTATTATTCGTCGTATATATAAATAATGTGATATTAACTATATCACTATAATTATAGTATAATTATTAAAAAGATTTTAACATAATAATGTTAAATCGATAATAAAAGAAATTAATATTAAAATTACATCACTTTTTTACGTCATTGAAATTTTATATAAAATTATATATATAATTATATATAATTTTATATATTACGGGTTGAGCATTTAGTATTAATCAGAAGTAGACTGGTCATTTTCCTTTCTACATAAATTATTATTCGTCGTTAAATAATTAATGCAATACCGATTACTACAAAAAGCTTATAAAAATATTCAGTGTTTAAACGTGTATCATTGAGTCAAAACTTATTTTACAATTAACTAACTTATTATCTACAAGTAAACATGATGTCTTATTCAGAACAAACCGAATCAGATTGTTTAAGTAGTGATGTAAGTAAAATATTTATTTTTATTTATTTTATCTTTATTTATGTATTATTTATATTAATAAAAAAATGCTAATAATTTATAAATAGTTATAAACATGTTTTCAGTTAACATTTTACTATTAATATTAATTATATTATATTTGTAATAATTTAAAAAAATAATCTAAGGTATTTTAAATATAGAATGAAATCAATAGTTCTTCAGAAAATAAAAAAGAACTGAAGTCAGTTAAAAAAATTTATAATGGAAATGTAAGCATTTGTATTTAACGAATGTTCTTTAAATGGTAATTATTAATAATTTTTAAATTTATTTTATACATGCACAGCCTATAACATATAAAGATAAACTAAACGCTGTTATAACATCTGGCAAATTTGAAGATACTAATTTAACAGATAGCATTTCAATAAAAGAAGATGGAAACACATATACTTTTAAATCTCCTACTTTACCAGGAGAGGATTATTGGGTGATACAACACTATAAAACCAAAAATATTGCAAATATTGCTCTTCAAGACAGGTAATATATAAATAATAATCATAAATAATAATTTGTATTTATACAATAAATAATGTATTTATATACTTTTATTTATGTTTTTTAATCTTAGATGGAAACAGGCTGAATGTTCAATTAAATTAATAACGTCTAACATCCGTGGAAGTAAAGATGTTAATATTAATAAAAAAATGCACGCTATTGTAGTAATACAGAAAAGGATAAAATATTGGATGAACTTTAATAGTCCTAAAAGTGAATTTCTTTAATTCTTACCTTTATTTCACTTCTCGTATAACATACAGATCTTGAATTGAAAAATATATTAAAATAATTGAACACACTTATGAATATTTAATACTCAGATATAATTGACAAGTCTCGTCAATACTCTGCAGGCGTACAATAAAAAACGTGTTAATCTTCTTTGTATGGTGACTAGTAACCGATCGACCCTCTTGCTGGCGATACAGGCCTATTTATGCCCTTTGGAGTATTAACAAGATTACCCTTCATACCGTCATTTATTGATAATTATTATAATTGTTTTTACAATTTTAGAAAATGTCTTAATATTAATAGTGTAATATTTATGTTGTTATCTTTTGAAATTTGTTTGATTATATTGTGTGATGCTAGCCGACATCAATTGGAATATGGAGGTGATTTTGATATAAATGAAATGTGTTCATTAAATAATTATAATGTAACTATCCGATGGTTTATTATTGCCGCTTTAGACAATTATTTATTTTTTATAGAGTTGCTATTATATTAAATGTCAAAAGATATTATTATATAGTTAAAATTAATTTAATTTACTAATTATTAATACTATTATACATATGAGTAATATCACTAATGTTATGTTTTACAATATTATAACAACAGTCTATGTCTTTAATTTGTTATATGTTTTTGGAAGTTTAGGTTATTATTTTATTATTTCTTATTGCTGTTATGAGCGAATTTATTTTTATTAAGCTTTATTGAAATATAAATTGTATTAAATAATGTTAGACCCCCCCGAAATTTTTTTCCAATTACGGCCTTGGGCGTACATATGGAGAGGGATTTCGGGATAAATTCCCCCTCAAGAACACAAAAAAAGTATTATGATTTATGTTAAAAATGATTGTTTAGATGAAATCTTCTGATAAAAATATACAATAATATGTCATTTAAATTCCCCCTTCATAAGAAAATTGAATGTACATCATTGAATATATACATAAATTAATTACCTTAAACCTTATTGCATTTGCAATAACTGAAGTTACATTAGACACATGCCAAATATTAACATACATATTTATATTGTCAAATATGATTTAGACATTATATTAAGAAGCCACTCGCATCGCAAAGCTAACCAGTGAATGTATGGGTTGGGCACTGCAAATGTAGATACTTTCGAAGGGGATCTTAAATGTTAAGGTTATTAGAAACCATGTCCGGGTCAACTATTCTATAGGAACGGGGTATAAAAGGTAGTCCCGTACAGACCAATATTCAGATGTGTATTAGTCCGATTTTAGTAAACACTCACGCCAGTATAATAGTAAATTTAATTAAATACTTATAATTAGAATGTTTCAATAAATACAGTTTAACTTAGTTTGAGTATCTCTATTGAAATTATCATAACAAACATCCATATATGAACTGTAGAATTGACTGCACGCAATGAATTAAAATTAACTAAATTCATTCAAATTTAATGATTTACTGAAAGACCAGAGAAACTAACCACACATAGTAAAGCAAGTTAGGTTTCATTTTACAATATGTATATGTAATATGGATATATAATATGTATATACAATATGTAATATGGTAATATTAGTAACGAGGAAAAAATTTTTAGCTGAAGAACAACATTAAGATTTTAATGACTAGTAAATATAATGAATTTTAATAAAGGAATTGCAGCAGAAACTTAGGTTAAATTAGGCCTACCTTGTAAAACTACTTCTGAAATACTGAAGAAATATAACTTAAAAATAAAAAAAAAACATGTGTATAATAGTCAACTTGATTTAACAATAACTATTTGTAAATATTACAAGGTAAAAAAACAATAATAAAATTAGTTCACAATATATAAAAACAATAAGATTGTAATATCTTATAATATATTAGGATATGGCCGGATTTGTCGTTGAACATAACCATCATTACGGTGACCAGTTCTTCTCAAAAACATCAATAAGTCACCGTTTTGATTCAGCTGCTGTACGCATTCTCTTATCATTATAGATGTATTTTCCCTTTCTTTTTTGCACATTTAATTTCCAACCTAGTAAAGTACATACAATTTAAAGAAATGAACCATAATTGAAACACAAAAAACTAATTATATGTATATAAAAAAAAAAAA